CGAGTGGGGCGGGCGGCAGGCAGTGTGGCGAACACGTGGCTTACGAAAGAATCTGCGCTGCTTTTGCGTTCTTTTCCTTCTCGTGGCCGGGCCGCCGTTTGTCATTAAGACGGGCTTTGTTTCAGGTGACGTTGCATTTAAACAAAGCAAAACATCACCCCCTATATATCAATCTTGGCTTTGTATACGGGCTGATACTTGAGTTACTAATTTTCACAACATTGCAGAATTTTCTCCGTTGCCAATTACAGCTATTGCATGCTCCTCTTGCGTCACAAATGATTCAAATAATGCGTCTCCCCTGATGGCTTACATAAAAAATACGTCTTTGCTGGAGATAGCAATTTAATTAATTTCCAAATGTCACAAAGAGTTCTATAGAAGGCGTTTGTAAGAGGTTGTTTTATGCTTAGAAGGTAAACACACGTGATACGAACACATGCTTTTCAGATTGCGTGAACAGAATATACGTTTGGAATACCGTTAATTCTAATATGAGTTTGCAACTGCGACTGTCTCTTAAATTCTCTTTTATGCTATAGAATTATATAATTTGAGCGCTACGTTGCTTTACATTTATGTACGTTCTGTTTTGTTTGTTACCTGTTCTGTAGGGGAACATGAAAGAATAATAAATTAAAATGATGCAGACATTTTTAAGACACAAATTCCACCATGTGTGATGGGAATGTGCGGTAGTGCAGTGCCTGTGGGTGTATGTGGGTATGAAAAGGGCGAGGATAGGACAAAAAAGAGGAAGGAAGAGTCGCGTTCGGACTGTGGTCCTACTGCTTGAATTTTCTTTTATACAGCGGCAGGATTCGACCTAGCGGGCCAATGTCGAAAATCCGCCACTGTCGGGACTCGAACCTTAGGAACTTCGTGTCAGAGTCGCTGCAAAAGCATCGGCAATGTTATCTCTGATGTGCACACAGTACATCACAGGAGATGAACGGAGCAAGACGGGGTCAGAGTACCAGTAAATCGTCCGGCCTTAAAAAGGCGAGAGGGAATCTGATTGCGATTGATTTATCACACACTGTCTATACCTAACACTTCAAGGTACTGCTTTCGATAGAAGTTCTCGCTACAGTCCAGATTATTATGTAATAATGCCCTTTTTTTCTTCCGATGATCAGTTCTCAAAATTGTGATCTTGGCGAGTCACTGACTGCAATTCTAACATAATATTCCATTTTTTGTTACATATACATTTTACTATATCACGTATTTTTACATATTTTGAAAAACCTGTTATTCTTTCATCAATTTTTTCGAACGTTTTATCTCGAAAAGCTTAAGAATTTTCAGAAAGAGTTCTGACCGAAAAAATCGCCATATTTTCATCTTATATCCAGAAATGTCTGCTGACGGCTGGAGATTCTCCTGCTTAAACGATGGTCAGATGATCAAGGATTTGTTTGTGTTAACCTCAGCTGCACTTCATATATTTTGCAATACTTTACGTGCGCGCTGAGTGTGTGTTGAGTGTTTCGAAAAAATAGGGGGCATATATTCAAGTATGTATTTTCTATATGAAATAAAAACCTTCCAGCGAATTTCACCGGAGGCCATAACTCGGAAATTAATTAATTAAATTATTTAATTAAATTTCTGTATTCAACAATTTTGATTGTCTACGTTCGGCGAATACATACCTGAAATTATGTCCCTTACTTTTGAAACATTCCGTATAATCTTTTGGTGTCGATAATATTAGTAACGTCTTGTTACTTGATCTTTAATTTCAATCTACCTAAGATATTAATTAGACGTGTAGCACTACAGACTATGCTTCTGTGATTGTTGGGCTGTCATTGAGTTCCAGCGTTTATTTGAAGGCTAGCATTGTTCTCAGAGATGAAAATCTTCTCTTAAAAATGTAATCCAGTAGGACAAGAAAGATTTAGTTTTTATATTGTTTTAATGAATATTTTATTAATATAATATCAAAATGTGTATATTTATTATGTTTGTAAACGTTTAAAAGATGAAAGTCTTTCTCGCAAGTATGGGTTTGTTTTATATACTAGTTTGTACATGGTTGTTAAGTATCCTATTGTTAAAATGTTCTCCCTCATGTTGGGCATGCGTTCGCTATGGCACTGACTTGGAGAAATATGATTCACTTGGCCGAGATAATGTTCAAAAAATAATTCCGGCCGATATTTTACAATCGTAAGGGCAGAATATGCAGCGAAGGCTCACTTCATACTTGAGAGTGGGGCGGTTTGCGTAGAGCTTTTGTTCAGGGGTGGTTGATTCAGCACAAACGTATAAAATCATGAACGCGCGTCTGTGCAAAAGATATATGCATATTCATATTGTACTATTCATATTCTACTATTTTACATACGCACATTCATATTGTAATCTTCCCGCAAATGCTAGCAATACGTTGACAAAATTTTATCGCAAGTGGATGGACGGTACGACAGCACATAAAATACGTACGTACCAACAAACAAACATTGATTTATATGTATTAGATTTTGTCGCTTCATTCTACATATTTTTCTCTAGTTATCTGAAAAAATCGCAGATACAATTGGACGGTGTTAGAAAAACGCTAATTGGCGGTCAATACTTTCCCACAGGCTTTTCCACATTTGAGGTCATGTGCAGAGAAACAGGAATCGTGTGCAGATAATCTTATCTCCATGATGATAATTTTGGTGGTTGCTCTACGATATGCATCCTGGCACTGGCGTCGGACGTATTCGCTATCCTCCAGACAACACGAAATGCGCCACCGTGGGTGCTTGGAAGCCTTCGTTGCTTACATCCGAACGTCGCTCTCGATCTCTTCTGTTCGTGGAGTGACGACGGGAGCAAACCCAATCCCAGTAGTAAGAAGGTAGAAAGTGGGACCTTTTACAATTATACTGACAAGTACACACACACATTTCTTTATTATTATTATTATTATTATTATTATTATTATTATTATTATTATTATTATTATTATTATTCATTTTGTTATTTAAGGTCACATCAACATCTAGGTCATTAGCAAACACTATTGCATTTAACTGTATGGTAACTGTGAAGATGACATGATAGGGGATGAATGGACGAATACAAATACAATCATGATGGAGTCGGGACTCCAAACAACGATCCTTCGGACCGAGATCGCTACGGCACTACTGCCTTAACGATGTCACCCATCCGGGCCGGCTTGTAATATATTATATTGATATATTTGGCGGCGCGGCGGCGGCGGCGCCGCCGACGCACGGAGCGCGACCCGTTAGCGAAGCGGCGGCGGCAGGGCGCACACGCGGCCTGGGGCGCCCGCTGTGAGAGCTGGCCCGCACCCGTACGCGCCGCCGCCGCCCCGACCACGCCGTACGACGCGCTACAGACGGCGCGGCCGGCGGCGGAACCGGCCACCCGGCCGCGTCCTCGCTCCGCTCCGCGCCGCCCGCCCGCCGCGCCGATGGCCGTCGCGGCGGCGGGCGCGGACGGCGGGGCGGCGGGCGCGGGGCGGCGGCGGCCGGCGGCGGGCGGCGCGGCGGCGGGGCGGCGGCGGCGGGCGCGGGCGGCACGCGCGCTGGAGCGGAGGCCGCCATAAATTCGCCGCCGCTGGCAGCGGAGACGGGAGAACGAGAAGATTGCTGGACGGTGGTAGAGCACTTTGTGATTGAGGAGCGGACGAAAACCCGCCTGAGCAGAGGTGACACACTTAAGATTTATATCAAGTAATGTCATTTTTATCCTGACACTTATATTTTTTAAGTGTATGTGTTATCAAAAATTTAGTCAAAGTTACGCGTGGGTTCACTCTGTTTACATTGTCGCATGCATTCAGTGATGTACACCTCTTCTAAGACTGCGAATCGAAACGCAGACTAACAATAAGAGCTGTTGCTTAACAGATGAAGTGGGGAAGGATGTTAGCGTTATCTAGAAATACATTCAATACCATATATTAAAGAAGCCGGTCCGCATTGCTGACATCGTCTAAAGCAAGTGGTACCGTAGCTATCTCGGTCCGAAGGATCGTTTGGTGGAGTCCCGCCTCGGGCAGGGTTGTTTTGTGTCGTTCTGTGCACCCCCAGATCATCACCGGGATCATGTATCATCGCTTCACGATAACATACTGTTAAATGTGAATAATGTTTGTTAATGACCATAGATGATGACGCGAACTTTAAATACAAAATAATAGATAGTCAATAATAATAAATAAGTAATAATAATAATGAATAATAATAGATGAATAACAGCTCCCACTGACTATAAAGGTGAGACTACGATCAAGTGCGGCCACACATCCATTTCCAAACTAGCCTAATAAGCACAGGCTACCTCAGAAAGTGGATGCACATACTACCAGTATCATCCAGAGCGGTACTAGAAAATGAGACACATAAGTTATACTGAACCGCAGTATTCTGACAGACGTGGACAAATTCACACAACAGACCTGATATTACTCTTGGACAAATCTGCAAAGAAAGGTTGGTGTTATTCACGTTGCAGTCGTAATACAGCAACATGAGGACAACATACCAGACTTAAAACGACAAATATGAGAGAACTAGTATTTGCCCGTAAAAAGAACAAGGGCAAAGTGTCAGAACTAGTGTGGAAAACTATCCCAATGTGTACCATCAGCAACTCAGCGTGAATACCAAAAAACTCTCGTGCAGACGCTCGAAGAACCTCCTTGGAGAAGAGGCATTATCATCGGCCCTCCAGAAGTCTTTATAATCAGCAACTGCTCACTAGTCAGGAGATTCATGGAGGACATGCTGGGTTTGTGAAAGCTTCATTCTTGAATTGATTCTGTTATTAGCATTTTGAAAACTATTATTCGGTTTAACAATTCTTGAAAACAGTTATTTTATGTTTAGGTGTTAGAATGCTTAATTTGTTTTTTAGATTTAAATATGTCTGTATTACCATGCTCTGATATTGTATCTGTGTGGTATTCCATGTGAAACCAAAAACTTGTGAGAAATTAAAACCAAAATAATAAAATAATAGTAATAATAAAATAATAATAAAATAAATGTGCTGTGTGTGTGTAACATAACCGAGTAGAATTGTTTAAGGTGCACATCTTTCTACTTCTTCACTACCCGGATGGAATCTCTCATCCTTCACCCCACACCGAAAGATTGAGATCGAAGGCGACGGTTGGATGTAAGCAACAGAAAGCTCCAAGGCACGAGTAGCCACAGTGGCGCATTTGTGTTGCCTGGAAGATGGGCGAAGACGTGCGACCCGCCATGGCCTTGTGCATATTGTAGAGCCAGCCCAGACAAAATTATAATCATTGAGATAGGTTTCCTCTGAACATGACCGTTAATGTGGAAAAGCCTGTTGTGACACTATTTCACCGCATGTTGGCGTTTTTCTGTCATAATAAACCGTCCACTCTGTATTCTGCGATGCTTCACATTAACTAGATGGAAAAATGTGTAGAAGTGAAGCAGCAAAATCTAATTACATATAAATCCAATGTTTGTGTGTTTGACGTAGCGTATTTTATCGTGCCTGTCGTACCGTCCATCCACTTGCGATAGAAATTTGTCAACTTATTTGTTGGCTACTTGCGCGAAGATTACTAGATTGAATACAAACGATGAATATTGCATGTCGTTTGCACAGATGCGCTGTTTCATGATTTTGTGCGTTTGTGCTGAATCAACCACCCCTAAACAAAAGCTCAGATGCAAACCGCCGCACTCTCAAGTATGAAGCGAGCCTTTGCTGCATATTCTGCCCCTTACGATTGTAAATATCCGGCGAATTATTTTTCTGATTATCTCGGACAAGGTAGAATCATATTTCTCCAAGTCAGTTGCCATGCCGGAAAGACATGCGCCAAAACATGAGGGAGAACGTTTTAACAATAGGATACTCACCAACCATTGTCCAAACTTAGGATTAAAAACAAACTCATACTGGCGAGAAAGTCATCTTTTAAACGCTTGCAGATCGTAGCGCTAAAATGTACATGTACACAGAAATAAGAATACTGAAAGTCAAAATATGTAAAAAGCATACAATAGGAAAGATGATTAACACTCTAATTTACAGAATTTTTACAAAACATAATAAATGTACACATTTTTAACATTACATTCATTAAAATATTCCTTAAAACAATTACTTAAAAACTTAAATGATTTCTTGTCCTACTGGATTACATTTTTAAAGATTAATATTGTTCATCTTTGAAACAATGCTAGCCATCAAATCAAAATCGTTGAACTTCAATGGACAGGCCCCTAACAATCACAGAAAGACGTAGTGAGTGCTTACACGTCTAGATTAATATCTTAGTAGAATTGCAAAACTTAAAGATCAAGTAACAAGACGTCACTCAATATTATCGACACCGCAAAAATATACGGCAATGCTTTCAAAAGCTACGAGGGACATAAACTCGAGGGTATGTATTCGCCGAGACGTAGACCAATCAAAGATCACATACAGAAATCTAAGTTAATTCTAGACCAGCCGCCCCACACCGACGCCCTCCAGACATTTCTACATTCTTAACTGATCTCCCTGTCGTGTT